AGTGGGCAGTGTGCTTTCCCATGGGGAGGGTGCTCCTCCTGCTCCAGCCTGTGCGTGTTTCTTCTTGCCTCTCTCTAGCTATCACATACCCCACGATCATGTTATATCCCTGAGCTGTGTGATATGAATTTAATCCCCAGAGGCTGAGAGGAGGACTGAATCTGGTTTCCCACCACCCATGTGGATTTCCTTACCAGCGGGCTATTCAGGGAAAGGCAACTGCTACCTCCAACTGCTTTAATAATTCTTTGATTCCTCAGCTTGTACTGCCAGTGCCCAAAATGAAATGCTTTGCCATTTGTTTTGCCTGAAACTATTCCACAAAACTGCTTCCAATTTATGAATGGATTTGGCTACCTCAGAACCTCATTTTTAGCTAAGTTGCAACTTGCCAAAAGCCCTCACCCAGTGCTATTCTTGAGTGCTTTGCCCAATCTTATGTTTCAGAAGCAGCGCCTGTGTACAGTGTGGTTGCTACAACCTTCCCTCCAAGCCCTGTCCTCCCTCAGTCAAAACAGGAAGGTAGGAGAGGAGCTGCGGCCAAGGCCTCTTGACCTTCCAGGGAAACAGCAAGTATTTATGTGGAGACACCGGACTGATGATCTTAGCTGTGTTGACAGGGATGAGTTATAAAGTGAAGCAGGCATAAGTGCAGTTTTAACAAGGCATAGGATTTCCAGGATTTAGGAGTGTTTTTAGCACCTTTACCCTCTAAGCTTGCTCATCCCCACATGCCATCAGCTTCTAGATGGGTGCCAGTACCACTTGACGGGCGGAGCTGGGAACTAAGCATCAATGCTGGGAGGTGTGGGAGCCCAGGGTGGGCTGATCTGGTTCTGCTGTAGTGCAGGGCGATGCCACAGGCTCATCAAGGGGGCTGTCCTCCTCTACCACCCTCCCCTGTGGGGCTGCCCTCTCCCTTCTCCCCCATCTACTTAATACCCTGGAGAATTGGGTCAACGGCTTGGGGGCCCTCAGGGAGGGAGAGCTGGACACGGTGCATCTGCTGGAGCCTTGGCAGAGCCACTCCTCCACATGTGGGGTTTTGCCAGAAGGATCCACAGAGCCAGACAGAGGTAGAATTGGCCTCTAATTTTAAATGCCTGGAGTGCCTTGATAGTCCTGATTCACTGTTCCCACTGTGCTTCCCATCCAGACCCATGAGAAGAAGGGATATTTGGGAAAGGAAAGAGAGAATAGGGGAAGGTGTCAGTGACTGAGATTTCCAGTTTTTCACTTCAGTCCATCCTGGCTAGGATAAATAGCCTAGTTAATATAGTCAAGAATCCAATACAACTCACACATGTCCTTCCACATGTGAAGGAGAATGCAAATCCAACTTGAAGGCACTGAAATCTGCACCAAAAAGAAAGCTAAGCTTTATAGTTATATGGCTTTAAAAATAAGGATAGGGAATACCAATTAAAGCTGCCAAAAAAAAAAAAAATTAGGTTCTTTTCTTGATAAACAACCCAAATTTATGACTAATTCCATGACCCAGTGAAGACTCTTTTCTTTTGTTAGCAGATGAGCTGATAGCCAATGAATTTATTGTACTTTCTTGCTGTGGTAAAGAAAAAAAGAAACCCCCAGCATTGCATTTTCAGTCTCAAAGAATTAGCTGAATTGTCATCATGACCTCCATTAAATCAGAAGAAAAGCTCTGTTACATCTAGAGGGAAAGAGCATTCAATTAAAATGAATCGGATAATCAAACAGACTTTTCCACAGTGGTCCAGCTCTGCTCCAGTTGACTGATGTACTACACTGAGTCAGTAAATTCGTACAGGGGACCAAATTTCAGTCAATAGGTTTATTTTTTGTTCAGTGTTTCACAATCAGAGAAGCATGACTTATCTCCCAAAGTCGTCTTTGGGAGAACAATTAAGTTATTTAAGATGAGCAAGGCAAGCTGCTGACACATTTCAGTTTTGAAGGCACTGCTGTTCAGTTTATCCAGACAAAGCCTGAAACGTGAAAGCTGGCCTCCTGCCTTTGTTTTCTTGTAACCGACTGCCGAAGAAGCAGATTTCCCTGCTCCGTGGCTAACTAGATTTGCCTGGTTTGCTTAACCAGTGAGCACATTCCTGCACTTCAGGAAGAACACTCCGGACTCATTACAAGCTACTGGACTACAGCACGACATTGAGAAAACAGATTTGTTTTGGACAAGCTGCTCTGATGTGGAGGTGCCAGGGTGAATAACCTTTGGAAAAAAAAAAAAAGAAAAACAACAAAACCCCCAAAAACCTGCCTCCAGGAACAAGATGAATAATCTGACAAATGAATAGCTCTGTATTTTATATCAAAGCACAAAATGAGTAGAAGTTGTGGAGATCTGACTCATGAGCAGAAATAGAGTGCTGGGGACGGCTTGAGCCGTTGCTACCACCAGCTGCCTCCCCCCACCGCTGGAGAATGGGTGGCTCAGATGCTGCTTCTTAAGCAATTCAGCCACAAAAGGCTACAGTTGAGCATTTTCAAGGAAACGTGCCAGCGCTAGTTTTTAGCAGCACTCGTTAAGATAAACCTTGAAACGGTCCCGAGTTGCTACAAAGCCTTTCAGCTCTTGAGGCAGGAGGAACTGGACAGCCACTTTGCCAGGCATCCCGGTGGAAGTCGCACCAGGCATAAATCAGTACTCAGCAAAGCAGCTTGTCCTAGCTAAGTGGCACTCCGCTGCCACGGCAAGGTGTTGATAGAAGCCTCCTCCCCGCCCCCTTTCCCAACCCTCTTATCAGTAAAGCAGCCTTTTTGAGATGGGCAAATTTTAAGCCCGTGACCTATTTAAACGTCCGGTCCCATCACCGACCAGCAGCGCAATTCTGCAACAACTCCCGTAGCACTCTGCTACTGCATTTCCCCAGCTGCTCTCTGTGACAAGTTCCCCGCCTCAAATAGAAGCCCTAATCCTAGTGTAAAGCTCCAGCCTTGCACCTTCAGATAAACATACATTGTTTCACCTGGTCTTCTGCGAAAATGGGACTGTGGCAAGGGCCTTATCAGTGCTGCTTTCTCTACCTCTTCTCAGCTCCTCCTCCCACCCATAACTTTCTAACGTGTTTATCATGCAGAAAGAGAAAGACAGCTCACAAAATCAAACTCCTACAAACGCGGGGGGAGGGAGAACGGGTGGTTGGGGATGTGCACCCATCCCCACTGAGGGTACAGTTACACAGCAGCTTCAATTGCTCTAAATTGGAGTTGCCGTAGCAATGCCTGCCCTGCCTGCATCATCCTGCCCTCCCCACCTTCTGTCAGCAGAAAACAAAGGAGGTACATGTGAAAAGCAAAAAGTCACTACCTGTGGCTGATTCTTCTGAAAACCAGCCCTACCTAAAAATTATTCATTTTGGTTGGTTGAGCTCCATACAAAGGCCACTTTGAACTAAACCGAGGATGAAGGAAACATCAGGATTTTGCAGGATAGGGGTAAAAGAAGCAGCACTGTTGCTCTGTTGATTTTAGGACAACTGAATTTCTGTAGAATGAATTCTTAGCAGGGTTATAGCAGTGCCGAGAAGCTGTCTTCAAAAGCGGAATTCCCATCCACCTCCCCTCTCAGCTCTGGCAGGTTACTTGCCGCTTTGGGCTCCCTGCCTGAACCTTGGCTAATGCCACAGCATCGGACCACGGCTTGTCCCGGCTGCAGGTGGGAAGTGCAGCAAGGCAGGAGCCCTGCTGCTGCATGTTTCTTAACTTAAAACTACTGTAAAATTGCAACTCGAGGGTTAGGGGCACAATACAAAAGTATGGAAAGAAATGCTTCAAGTTCACTCAGAGCTATTTTGTCTCTGAATTGTGCAACATTCTGCTTTGCTACATTAAAACTCCTATTAGAGACCTTTAATTTTGTTTCGCTAACCATTATTCAAAGAATGCTCTAGCTGAAAATATCTCTAGAAAGCCTAGTGATGTGGGGGATGATGACCAGCCTCTGAAGTTGTGAATTCCAACTGATTCGCCGCATGTGAACCAGCGCTGTTGTCCTGGGGATTTCTTGCACTCTGTCGGCATCACTCATGCAACAGTGTTTTTTGAAAATCGTCAACACCGTTATTTATACACCACAGTACGTTTAGCGGTTTGCAAATGGTTTTAATCAAGAGTTTTCTTTAAAAAGGTAATTGTAAATACCTGTGGTATATGGAGTCATACACACAATATTGCATCTCAACTGATACTATTCTACACGAAGGGTCTGGCCACGATGCCCCTTTTCCACCCCTTCAAACAAACAAATATCAGGCAGTTTAGGAGAGCTTTATAAGGCAGTGGCTAGCGAATTGCGTTTGCGCTCCCAGGTGCGCAGAGGCAAGAAGCATCAGGTGTGCTTCCATAGCCTCCACACAGCCGACCAGCTACGGTTAGACGGGATGCCTGCCCAGGACACGCAAAACCGAAGGATGCAGAGTATTTGAAAGTGGTTTGGCCGCTGGCAGTCAGCTGTGGGAGCCGCAGGAATCAGAATGCAGGAATTTGGGTCTTTGTTTCAGGAACATTCCTTGGAAAGTGTCGAGGCCAGCTGCAAGACAGTCCGAAATCCCTCATCTTATCTACGGTCGGCGCAGGGAGCTACCCGGGGGACCCGGCGGTACCGTCTCTCCCGGCTCCGGGAGACCGGGGGCTCCCGGCCGGCTTGCCGGGGAGCCAGCGCTCGCTGGGTGTCACATCCCTTCCCAACCCAGGAGTTGCTCTGCACCGCCCCGACCCCAGGTACCCCAGGACCGGGGCGGTGGGCGGCAGGGGCAGCTGCATAACACCGCAGGCTGGGCGGGATTTTTTTATTTCTTCCGATCTTTTCCTCATCTGCGCGCCGCGCACTGCCCGCTCTGCTCACGGGAGAGCTGGGGCTTTAACTTTGCACGGGGAAAGGAGCAAAAAGAGAAGCAGCCGGGACGGGAGGAAAGGAGGAAGGTAGCCCCGGTTCGGGGTCCGCAGCGAGGGCGCCGCCACCTGCCCCGCCAGCGGCGCGGGCGTCCCGGCGCCCCCGGACTTACTTTCTGGGGTCGGCGTAGGTGCCCAAGCCCCAAAAGCGGGATGCTGTTCCCGTCGCTCACGGGATGCCGGTGCTCTCGGCTGTAAGGTTCAATCGTGCCTGCAGGTAGGGCCGCCCGGACCTGGGGCTGACTCCGCAGGGGGCGGGAGCCGCGCTTCACAGCCAACCCGGCCCTGCGCTCCGGCACCCACGAACGGCTGGACGGAGCGGACAGGCGGCAGCTTCTGCAGGGGCCGAGGTACGGACTGCCCGCTCCGCCGCGGGGAAGCGCCTTTGGGGGTCTGAGCCACGTGTGCCCGCGGCTGCCTCCAACCGCACCCCGCCGCGCACCGCCCGCCCCCCGCCCGCCCCGGCCACCGCGGCCCCGCGCACCGCCCCGCCGGGACGGCCCCAGCGCGACCCCCGAGGTCAGGCACGGGCTGAGTGCGGGATAAAGGCTGCTCCATGTGAACCTCAAGGCGAGCCGGTGGGTGATCTGCACCCTGAGGGGCTTGGGGTGGTGCTGCTGCCCATTGCCAGGGACCCCCCCCCGGCCCGCCGTGCCCGGAGGTACCGGCAGCAGGGCACCGACTTCACACGGTTTGGGGTGTTCGGTTTTGGAACTTTTCCCACAGAGGTGTAAAACCTGGGACAGTTTCCACCCCTCTTTTCCAGTGGCTGAAACCCACTGCTGTAGAGGCAAGGAGAGAATGAAGGAAATTCCAGATTGCTGAGTAGTTCCTCTGCCTCAATGTGAGTCTCAGATTATGGTGAATGGGCTCAAGTTCCTCACTATCAGGTTCTGCTCCACTGTAGAAAAAATGTATATATTTCCAAATGCTGATAGCCCAGAAAGGGGTAATGTCCTTTATGAAATTCAATACATGGCTTTTACTCTTCTCTGATCCTCATAAAACACTCAGGGCCATCCATGCTTTTACACCACTTTGCAAGATGTACCCTGTCCTAACCCACCTGCTTTGTGTCCTGTATCTATTCTGAGTTCTCCCCATTTGATTTTGAAGTGTATGGTCTTCTATGTCTTCCCAGATCAATCTGAAATTAAACCCTCAGAGAGCACTATTTCTTAGCCACAATGATGTGGCTTAGCCTGGCAGATTATTTTATCTCTTCTAATACCCCACTTGGCTTTCTGTGCATGGTAATAGTTCAGCGGGTTATGCAATTCCAAGAGGGGTTGATGGATCCATCGTGATAAGTTATCTTTGCGAGGTTCTTGAAATCAACAGGTGTACTCTAGTTTGCATTTAGGGAAAGGGTTAGTGGCTGCTAGGGCTGGGAACCTAACTTGCAGAATACCCTACCAAGAGACCCTTTTAGTGTTACTGGTTAGATAGGGTATCCAGTGAAGATGGAAAAATTGCCACTTTCACAGGTAGGAACGTGTCAAGAAGCTCAGGACTAAGTGCAAGCCAACTTGATCCCAGCCCAAAAATTTCTAGCTAACTAGGATGCCCTGCAGGACAAAGGGTGTTGTAAAATGCTCCTTGGAAGGTGGATTGAGTGTGACCGAGGCTTTCCTGGCAGCCTGTGCTTTCCCTGAACAACACAATGCAAAGAGCTATCTGTAAGGTGACTAGGTTCCATCTCAAGGAGGGGAAGCTGGGGCAAACAACTGTGGGCACACTCATCCTGCTAGACCCTGTCTGCATGTTACTGCAAGCTCTGGGTACCTGCAGGTCTGACGTGGAGGAAGGAAACCCAATTACCACCTCCATGCCTCATTGTTCCCATGTAACTGATTGCTGTTTTCTTGCTACAGGAGAAGCTCCTGTCTCCTCTCCCCATGCCAACCACGCTTAAACATACTCTGTGTTTGTTGGAGGACAAGTTGATTCTAGCTGTATGTCTGAGCTACAGCCCTCATCCTTGTGTGTTTCCAACAGAGGAGCAAAAGCATGGAGAGAGATGAAAATGGGGTGAGTAGAGAATTGTCTGATGTGGCAGAGGGCACTCAGAGACCTCCTTATTTTCAGTCCACCCCAGAACCCATTTTTCCATAATTCCTCTCAATCCAGTACCTTGTGGAGAGTTTTTAAGGCACAGTTTGCTCATTTGCTTTGGGATCAGAACACATCCAGTTTGCTCACATGCTCTGGGAAGAGAGTGATGTGTGTGCCCTAAGCTGTGCGTGATCCTGAGCTAAGCAAAGAACGACTGCCTCGGTGGTGCCTGTTCTGGGCAAACAAGTGAGCCTCTCTGGCAGGAGTACAGTAGTCTGATACATGATAGCCTTCAACAGCAACTGTGAAAAAAGGATTGATGGACCTGCCATAATTCAGAGAACAGGGAGCTTGAACAGGAAAAGGACTTGTGTTTCTAGGAACAGGCAGGCAAAGCAGACTCTCACCCACGAGGCAAGACAAGCACCCTTCTCTGCTACAGCACCCGTCAGGGTGTGGATAACAAACAACCTTGAGGTAACAGGCAAAAGTCATCTTACTTGTAGCTTCACTGCTAGACCCGTCCTTATAAAATTCAGCCAATGTGTTTGTCAGAGAAATTGCAGAGGCAGAGGGTTTTACAAGTTGTTTCCCCCTCTTCTGCACCTTAACTGACAGCAAATAGTGTGAAGACTTTTTATATATGAGACTTTTTAAGTCCCATAGCACCTCTGGCTCCCTACCCTGCTGTTCTAATGCATTTTCAGGTTTTATATTAAATCCCAGAAAACAGATAGGAAAATGCATTTTTTCCCGTTTACATCTGAGTTACTAACTCAAAAGAGCTTTATTTCACAGAAGCTAGAAATACTAGCAGGTTTTGAGCTGACAGTGAGTATCCTTTAAAGAACAAAGGAAGCCAAATAATGCAGCCCAGAGCCTATCACATACACTTCTTGTTAGTAACAATTTCTGTTAGCTGTTCAGGGGAGTGCATGCAGCTCTCAGTTTCAGAGCTTAAATGACTTAGCCAGACTTTTTACGAGGACATGGTATCTAGCAATTCCAACTGCAAAACAATGCAAGTTTCTTGAGGCAAAGCATTGGCTGCTGGTTGTGTCGGTCAGTAACTATTCAGGAGCTTTTATAAAATGCAGATGTGATTTCAGTTCTTTCTCTAGGAAATAAAAACAATGAAGTCTCAGCCTGATCTTATTAGCAAGTAGTGAGTGTTGCCATCCTATCAACCCAAGTTTGCCTTCTCTAGCAAAGCTCATAAAGCACACAAGAACACCTTCAAAAGCAACTAAGGGAGGTTTGTGATTCCTGTATTGATGGTGTAGAGTTTTATAGTTACATTAGTCCTCTCAGACAAGTAAAGAGAAGCAGCATCTTATGCTTGCATGTGTTTTGTTCCCTGTCCCCTGTATCCAGACACAAATAATATAGATTGAAAATATAGAACGTTAGATCTAAGTTTTTGGAGGAAAAGTGGGTCAGACATCTGAAGATTTTTACTTTAAAAACTTGCAGAAATCCCAGGTAAAGAAAGTACTTAACGGCCTCCTTACCTGAACAAACCTTGTCAGCGATCTTTTCAGGTAAAGAGGTGACCCTTTTACTCATTTTATCTCAAATTGCTGAGTATCCTGGGAACATGGGAAAATGTGCGAGGCCTTTAAATATAGACTCCCTACTTCTTGGAAGAAGGAGCCATGGACTGAGAAGGACTGGCCTTGCCATCTTCTAGGTTTCATATTTTCTTGGACATTTGTAGATTGTCTTTTTTTTTCCGAACTTTTGGTTTGGATAAGGGAATATGTTAAAAATAGTATTCTGAATTTTCTCAATCTGGGTGTGTTTACACATTGTAGATTAGATTAGAGAGATTCTAGAGGTGGCTGACCTGTAGCACCTAAAAATTTGCTTTTTTAAAAAGGAAAATTGGAAGTACTTTTATAATACATGTATTTATTAGATTAAAAGTGCATGTTGCTACAGTTTCTGTTTTTTATATGCATTGTGCTCCACTCTGTGCAATTATCTGCTAGAATGCATACTCTGCATGTGTTTTTAGTTAAAATTTCTTAAAACACGGTCTTAAAGTCTGCATATTTTCAGCCTAGTCCTTTAATAACTCACATAAAATAGCATGTGTCTGTCCTGCACGTGGAATATCTACTTGCATATTTTCAACTATTTCACTTAGAGATTTTGGTAGCATGTGTTAAGACTAATACTTCTTTTGCATTTTTGCCATTAAATATGATAAACTAATGCATCAAGGAAAAGCTCTAGCTTCACTTTCAAGCTCTAAGAAATAAGGTCTATGTAGTGTTTAGAAGGTGGCTATACATGAAGTGAAGTTGCTTTTTTTCTTCTTGCTACGTTTTCCAGTGTGGTAACAAATTATGTAAGCTGAACTGGACAACACTTCTACTAGTTGTTTTAGCATCTTTTTGTTTTATATTCACATCATCACATGTGTCACAGTATAGTTCTTAAGGACACCCAATGAGATGAGGGTTACATCTCACCTTAATCTTGCATTGTCTGCACGATTCCTTCTTTCAGTGACCAAGGAATTTTTCATATGGAAGCATCCATGATCTTTTTGATCATGCTTATTGCACGAGGGTGATCACCGTCATGATAACAGCCTTGGCTTTGTGGGAAGTGTGATATAATAGGCATTCTTAGCAGTTTCTGTGCAAAGACCTTTTTTCCCTAGCTCCCATGGTGCATGTGAGATACTTGGCAAACAATGAAACGCTTAAATAATGTGTTCTTGTTTTATTTTGATTATTTTTATGTCTGCTAAGGACTTGTTCTTGGTAAGTTCTTCTTTGAAAGACCAAAGTTTGCTTTCATACTCTCAAGACTTACAGCTTAGCAGTGATTGGAGTATAATATATTTATACTTTTAGTGAAACTCTTCACTGCAAGTCCCATAAAGCAGTACCTGACCTCCAAAGACCTCGTCTGGCCCAACTTTTCCAGAACTGGTACAACACTTCTGCTGGATCCCTAAGGAGAGTATGAGGACAGGGAGAAAATTGTGCCTAATGTCTGTGTCTGTAGAGAGATTTCAGAAAATACTTGATGACTGGATCACTTATCCCTTCTGCTTCCTATAAATGCTCTGTGGCTCCAGCTGTGATAAAAGGGAAATTCCTATGTATCCTTGACACTGTTCCATTCTTCTAGTAACACTGAAAAAGTGAAGCCACTGCAGGCCTTTGATCACTCCTGGGGTACAAGAGGAATGTTGCAGCTGCTCCAGATTATTGTGCCACTGCTCCAGTGGCTGTGGAAATGTGCTCGCGCTGCATCAAGGCACAGGGGCTTCCCCACACGCCAGCCTGGCAGTGACCATCCTGGTCTGTTCTTCTTCCCATGACACCTTGGAATAGGTGCAGAGCCCCAGGCTGTGGCATCAGCTGGAATGAACATGGCGACAGCCCTGGTGCTGAGTGCTGTGGGGTGCCATGGTGGGTGGCTGTGCAAATAGTAAGAGTCTGCTCAGCACTTTAATCCCCCTCTTGTTTGGACGGTAGTAGCTGAATGCATTTGTGGAGGATGCTGTACCAGAAGCAGCAGCCACATGGGAGAGCTCCCACATCTGATGGGAGTAGAGGAAGCAAAACTTCACAAGAGTCAAAAGTAGCCAGACTATATATACACCACCACACATTTCCTATGGCCCAGCAGAAGGGCAGCCAGCACCAGCAGTACAGCCCGTAAAATGTATCCTTTTTCCTGTTGGGGTCCTCTTTTGTGACTGGATGTGGCACTTAGTGCCATGGTCTAATAACTGCAGTGGTAGTGGATCAAGGGTTGGACTTGATGATCTCAGAGGTCTTTTCCAACCCAACTGATTCTATAATTCTATGATTCAGGAGCTGAGTTGATCCATTACCTTCCAAGGAGTGTTACTTATGGCCTGAAAAGCCCCATGGAGAACCAGAAGCTCCTTTGGAGGATCAGGAACTGTGGGGAGAGCAAAAGAGAGACTCGATTTGAAAAAGTAATCCTTCAGAAAGGTAATCCTCTGGAAAGGTAATCCTCTATTTCTTTATGGGTGTCATTTACATAGGCACTGTCTCACGAGCCTGCTGTCCTTTGGGCACTGTCCTCATGCTCCAATTTGGTGTTAGCAGGGCTTACAACAAACCGAGCCAGAAGTCAGCTTTTTTCCCCATCATGATCTGTTTACTGATGTTATCTCTTTCTTCTAGCTATAGTATCTCAGTTTCTGCTCCAGACTGTCTTTGCTGTGGCACATGCCCGACCTGGGAGCTGGTGAGCACTGCCTCTCAGATCTCGGGGCAAAGGTCAGTAGCTGCATAGTGGCCTCTGGATTCTTCAGATACTGACCCTCATCATGTGGGGAGGCATTAACCTTTGGCCCTGAGTAAGTGTCATCATATCTCACCTCAGTTAGTCTGCCCTGCTGTTTGATTCTGTTCAATATAAAGCCCTTTCCTTTGGCATCCTGCAAATCTAAGACCTGTCTTGAAGTTTTCCAGCATGCTATCCCCTGATGTTGGTGGGAAATACCCTGTGTGTTGCACCCAAGGCTAAGTAAGTAGTGGCAAAAGGGGCAGCCTGAGAAGAGGTGATCATACATTCACAGCCTCTTTTACTTCCAGAGAGAGCAGTGGTGGTGGCTCCCTCTGTGTAACATTTCTTCCTCACCCAGAAGAGGGATAGACACCATTGGAGGTTACTGTCTGTATCATGCAACTAAGGCGTTTTGAGAATTTGAGGTTTGGGGTTTTTAACTCATGATTCAGGGGGAGGGACTCACCGAGAGTCCTTTAATTCAAATCAAGCTCTTGGGACAGATCTTAGTGCCTTCCAAAAATGCGAGATTTCCCTTGTCTCCTTTTAATGCAGAGCTTGGTTGGGGTTCACCTCAGTACATGACTCCTATTCCAGCCAACTCCTGTGTTTACCTTGTGTGTAACTTCACACGGCTCCCTTGGGTCCATCTCAGGGCTGTACAGGAGTTCTTAGTTCAGCTCTGATGAATGATCATTTTACTTCCTTGCACTGGATAAACAGCTGTTTTCCATGTTACCTTCTTTAGGAGCCTCACTGGCATGTTGTTTCTTTCCTTGCCTCCAGCAACAAGCAGACATATCTGACTAATTGCAACAGGGCTGCACCGGCACCTTCTTGCAGTCGGGACTGCACAAAAGTCGCACAACATTTTTCCTCAGTGCACCACATGGCAAATAGCCACAAGAAAACATAGCAGGGAGCAAGCACTTGAAGTTTCTTTTTCTTGTCTTTTACTCTTCAAAAGGGTGAAAGCAACACAGGCTTGGAGATGAGGGTCCCATAGTGGCCTGTCCCCGTTGGTGACTGCACTTCCAGCTTCGAGTCTCTACTGGGGAAGCTCTTCCTTTGAAGTACATCTCACTTGGACAGGAGCCAACGTCACGAGGAGGAAACTAATAGCTTGTAAAGAGAACCCCACAGGTAAAATCTAACAGCCTGCTGGTTTCTTTGCTTGTAGGTATTTCCTGTGGATGCTTTAAAAACAGATGGTATTTTGGGTTTTGCTGGTGCTGCCTGCTAGTGGGCAGTGCTCTGTGTCAGAACGAACAGGGATTTAGAAGATTAGACTTTAAAGCATCCCATTGATGCTCTTTACCCTACCTGTACACTTTTCAAGGTGTTCCAGAATACTTTAAAAGGACAGATAAACTCATCCTTGTCCTGGAGCTGTCATGCCAGAAGGGGACCATCACGGCAGCCCAGGAGGAGGGCAGTGCTGGTGGGAGCAGAATGGTGCTGCCAGAGGAGGTGAAGCCCCACCTGAGTGCTTGTGCTTTATGAGCAGAAATTTTATCGGGGCTGGTGGGATTTACAGCTGTGTTCAACACTTCATTCCACATTTAGTATCAAGGTGCTGCATGCAGACCACAAAGATGGTTTTTTACTTTCAGTACACTCTCAATTTGCAATGGCCATTCCTTTTGTCTGCTTTGCAGCCCAGGTAAAAAAAAAAAAAAATCATCTTCTGCTTTTCTTTTCCCACATTGCCACTGAATTTTTGGTGTTCACATGTACATTGGCGAATTGAGAAATCTTCTGATGTATTGTGAAACCCACTTATCATATTCTGCCAAGCTCTACGAGCCTATTGCTTGTCTTCCCCACCACCTTGCCTGCTGGAACTTCATTGGCATCCTTATTCAAACTTATGCCCAAATAGCTACCTTTTATAAAAGTCTTGACCTTCTACCCTACCATTTTTCCATGCCTTGTGTCATCTTGTGCAATGAGGCAGCATGATGTTAAACCTGCTCTCTCCGGGGCATTGTGTGGCATCTCTGCAAATCAAATAGTAGTGATACAATTTGGGATTAGGAAACAGAAATAAACGAACTATTCCTTGTTTGCATAAGACTGGAAAAACAGCTGGGGCAGAGCTGGGGCTAGAACCCAGAATAAGTCATGGGGCTGCCTGTCATAACAAGAAAGGGGAGCTTGCAGCAACTTCTTTTTTTGAGATGATTTGTTAAATCTCCTGTAATTGCTTTAGTAAACACTATAGACTGGAAACAAAACAAAAGGTTCTCTTCCAGCTTTCATAGGTTACTTGGTATCTCCCATAGCCATGTGGGATTAATGGTCGCTGTAGGGTAGGATTGTATCATAAAATTTTATTAAATGTTTTAAAGCCAATTTGAGCTTTCTAAAATTTTGCAAAGTAAATTTCTTCTATTGTTGGCACAGTGCCTTTGAAGTGCTAGGTCCTGAAATTTTTAATAATTTAAAAAAATAAATAGCTATGTATTCTCTGCAGACCTGACACTGTGACAGTGATTCCACTAGTTATGCACAGTACTGTTGTTGTAGGCAGACAACAAGTAAAATTCTCCAAAGTGGAAATTCACTTTTTTTATCTTCCTTCATTTACAGAAGTATTTTATATCTTACCTGTAGGCTCATTAAATGACAGTTTTGACAGGAAGGCTTGGGTTCTCCTACCAATTCAGTATGTCTTTCAGATAAGCCTTCCTTAAAACTTTTGAGTCTCCAAACTGAGAAATGGGAAAATCCATTTGTGAGTATAATAATGATTATTAGAAATTCCATGTGTCTGAATTTTTGACTTTCCTGAAAAACCAAGCTTCCATTTCAGGTATATAGTTCCACTTACTGTAGGCACAGATATAAAATGTCTTTCTAATCCATGGAGAGCATGCAGCCTATATTTCAAGGAACAAGCAGGCCTATGACAGGAAAAGGATCTGCAGGGCTCAGTGTCTAGGGTAGAAAAGAAAGGGCTGGATGTAGACACAGTCAGTTTGTTTTCATAGGTAATGATGTATTTGCAGTAGTGTGAGAATGCTCATCTCTTGATGCAGCCCAGGACATGGTTGGCTTTCTGGGCCACAAGCCCACATTGTCGGGTCACGTCCAGTCTTTCATCCTCCACTGCCCTGAAGTCCTTGACAGGGTTGGTCTCGATCCCTTGATCCCCCAGCCTTTATTGATACCAGAGGTAATTCCTTTTGAAGTTGTTACTATGACTGGAACTGCAGGATCCTTGATCTTTACATATGAGGCTGTCAGGGCACCTCTTGGGCTGCTGTAGCATCCTCTGATGGACAAAAACACCTCCTTGGTACCTGTAGTCCCTTGAGTGTGGTCCACCTCTGTCGTGAAAGGGCAGCAGAGGCTGGGGCAGCAATATCTCGCCCCTCCTGCCCAATCCATTTACAGGGTTCTCTTGGTGCACATCCTCAGCTCTGCACGTTGCAGAGGGCAGACACGTCCCTGCAACGTGCCTGGTGATTTCTTGCACACTCGCAGGGCTGATGTGTACTTCGGGGAGTCCATCGAGGCTGGAGGTGAGTGAGCCTTGGCACTCAGTCACTGCCTGGTCTCACAGCTCATTGTTCACCCGCAGCTGGGACCAACAAACTTTTTTTGTCTCTGTTTTGTATAAATCCTCGTCGCTGTAGCACTTCATCTGATATGACTAACACGCATGGTTTTTCTCTGCTCTCTCCCCTGAGGAAGGTGGGGGGAGAGTAGTGTAGGCAGTGCAGTATTTCTGCTTCAGTCTGGTTATTTCAGAAACAAACTTAAAAACATATGTTCTTTTCAGTTTGTTTATGTGACAGAGACAAGGTCGAAGAGATATGCCTGGAAAGTGGAGCTGAAACCTCCCTAAGAGCTGGACTAGGTTGAGGGATCCTGTTACATGGAGTTTATTGCAGGCTGGTATTTAAGTTCACTATAGCCTGCCCTGTCGTTGTACTTTTAAAGGTCCCTTTCTTTTAGAAATATCTTCATTTTGTCTCCTCCTGTTTTTATATTTTCCATTTGTTTTTTTTCTTTCAGGACAATTTAATTTTTTGAAATACTCCCTGTTTTGCAGAAATCATCATGTATAATATAGAAACACATTTGTACAAATATTGATAGCCCAAATTTTCTCCCTATCTAGATCTTCATTGTGTTGCATGTTGTGTCCTTGCTCCAAAATTCCTATCTAAATTTCCACTACCGGTGAGGCAGTCTGTACCCTTGAAATATATGCATGTTAATAAGGCAACAATTGGGGTTGGCAGGAAATGGTGATTTCCTCATGAAAAAGTGAGGATTAGCACGTCTGGTTTTCATTCTTCATCAAAGCAAAAGGAGAGTTTTATAAATGATGTTGTGAAGAAACCTGAGGAGGGGAGATTTCAGGAGATGAAACCCTGCCTGCTGGGCAGGGAGGTAAAGGGGCAACTGGCTTCAAGCCACAGCTCAGTTAGACCTGGATGTAGACCTGAAGCCCCTGCCTCTTCGAGCTTGCTGGGTGGGGCTGTTCCCCTCTTGATCAACGTTTAAAGATGTAGAAAGTGAGAAGAAAAGTGAAAAAACAAATGGCAATTAACTTAATCATGAGAGGAGAGCACCTGAGTGTGATGCAGGAGACAGAAGTTCAAGCCTTTGCTGAAATCTCTCACAACAAGGAATTAAATTTTCTCCTTCATGTTCTCCTCCAGCACCATAATCCCTGTGGTTGCTGAAGTTCATCCTGCTTCTCACTGGCCAGGTTTTCCCTGGGGCTGGGAACTTGCAGCCATTCAAGCACTTCTTCTGGGAACAAGTTGCCATAAAGTGCTTCCCAACACTTCCAGGACTGCAAAAGGGATTTGATGAAGACAGCTGTCATTTGGTTATACCTGTATGCAACATCTTCTGGTCTTTTGCACAAATATAGTTAGAAGCTTGAATTAAAAGGTGGAAAAAGGTAAATTGGGAATTTTGGAGGGATTTTGGTAAAGTCTTGCACTTTGTCGCTGTGGCGATGCTATGGAAATGTGATTTGTGGGGCCAAGGGGAGTCTAAGTTGGATATCTTTGTGAAAAAAACTCATGGTTTTGAGCACTCCTTTTTAATCTTGCACCTTGGAGATATGGTTAATTTTAAAGGGAACAGGATCAGTGTATAAACCATAAGCCCCCATTAACTGGAAATGGAAAAACACCTACTGAACCAGTTTTGAAATGTCTGGATGCAAGTAAAAGGGATCAGAGGTCTGTTTGTTGCTCAGAGAATGTATTTGACACAGTGGACTAATAAATTTTCTCGGATTTTCTTTAAAAAGTTAGTTAAATGAAAGGTCAGTCCCGTTTGTAAACAAAGCTGTCTGAATTTATTGTAAAGTAAAAGCATCAGGGGCTTTTGCAGTGCTTTCTGCTGTGGCTACGTTCCAGTACAGTTGCTATTTAGAAAGCTTAGTGTGTATGATTCTTTTTTATTAGAAAATAAATGGAAAAGACGCGCCAATCAGTAGCTTCGAAAGGTCCTTACTGCAATATCAGTGTTAGAGCTGTGCAACAGCCTCCTAACGAAATGGGAAAGCAGAAAAATTGTTTTCAGGCACTTTGGTAGAAAACTGAAACTCTGGATAGCTTAGTGGAAGGTTTATGAACCTTCTGGGGAGTGTCCGCTATGTTTACCCAACCTATACTGATTTTTTGCTGCTTTTTTGAAACCAGCTGAAAAACAGTAGTTTGAGGAGTCAAACCAAACAGAAAACAGGAGAAAGGGACACTCTGAGGATGGGAAATCTTGTACAGACACCTGCAAAAATCAAGCAGCTGTTTGTTATGTTGCACTGGCAGGAATGCTGTGCCGATCAAGGGTAGTGGTTGCCTCACGAACTTTTGGGTGATGACATCCTACTCGCTCTCCACCTACCTTGTGGCTGATGTTGGCAGTGCTGCCTAGTTCTGTTCACATTATCTGTCCAAACTAGAGATCTATCAGGCACGTGAGCCCCCTGCAACACAGTGGGAAAGAGCAGCTCTGCGTAGGGACCCAGGCTGTGCGAGCTGGGCAGCTGCAGCAGCGGGACTGCCTCTCCAGCTATCCCTAATTGTTTTGCCACAGCAGTGCCAAGTTTAGAGTAGACTGCATTCTGCTTTTTGGACAGGACCTGTAGCAGTAGTCTCATCATTTAAGGC